GGAGCAGGCAGGGGATGGGGCCTAGCAGGGGTCCCCCCATGGTCCCTTCTCCCCTCCTTTACCCCCCCACCCTATACTTACCAGCATGGAGTCCGGGTCCAGCTCCCTGCTGCAGCCAGGAGGGAATGCCTGAGTTCCCAAATCTCTTCAAATCTTTTCCAAATCAATTCAGAGAGCTTCAAATTGATTCAAACCTTTTAACTGGTCTCCTGATTCAATTCAGATTCAGAGATTTGGCCACTGAATCAGGCCAAATCTCCTCCGAATCGAAACAGCACCCGAAGCTTCGCACAGCCTTACTGCACATGCATGCTCATCAGGACTTGCCCTGAAAGACCACCTAGCAGCTAGCTTGTTGTCCTTTCTCAGAAAGCCACTAACTACAATCTTTAGTGGCAGTATAAAGTCTCCATAAACCCTTGAATTTTGTAAATACCATCCCAAAGTGTAGGAGGCTCTTCCCCATACCAGTTCTTAAATGGTTTGTTTCCCAAAGCATGGGCTTTCAAAACAGAGCATTTCTTGTGGGTTGTCCAAAGAAAAATACAGTTCCACTCAAATGTTCCTAAACATTTTCAACTGTATTATGTTAGTGTCTTCAGGCACACAAATATAGAGTAATGACTTAAGAATAAGAAGTCACATTTCTTCTGAAATGGAAAAAAAAAGAAGACAAATGAGTAAGTCAGAATATAATGGATTTAGTCGTATATAGCTGCTCAGTCCACTATCATAGACCAAATTCTTCCATGATGCATCTCCATTTGTCTCCTTGGAGATACACCAGGGATACATTTAGCCTCACATGAATCAGCTGACTTCACAAATGACTCTCTTGATAAACACCAGTACCAATCTGACAAACTGTTCTTTGGTTATGCATTTGCTAACTAATCTCCCAAAGAAGGTGTTGTTATGGCTATATGAAGAGATTAAATTAAGTACATTAATTATGCTAATCTGCTCCAAAACAGACTTTAATGTTTCAGCCATGGCAGCTACCCTCCATTTTGTACCCTGAGTCAATAGCATATTTTCTTCCCTTCCCTATCAATTGTGGAAGATAGTGTTTTGGCTGAAGTTAATCAAAGATAATTGGTACCATGACACCTATTTCAAAATAGATTTGAAAACAGGCAGTGACTAGGCTAAATCGAGGCAATCATTTAGCATCCGTTCCACATACAAGACCATCTTTTCCTGGCTAGCAGCAATCTGGCAAGTACTTTTATGAAGTAACAAATTATTGAGAAATTAGCAGTCATACCTCCTCTTTTGTCTTCTTGGATAGAACTCTTAGCCAGTCACCAATCATACTCAGGACAGCAGCAAAGTAGGCAAGACCAACAAGAATCCAAAACCATACTAAGGGCTTATACCATTCCCGATAATGGATATCAGCATTTCCCCCTGCAATAAGCAGACATTGTTCTATTCATTCTTAAGAACCATGAGCTGGCAAAATATTTAATTGGAGGCCCTCTGTATCTCTGGCAAATCATGAAAGTATTTTCAAGTTCTAATCAGTACCTTCCTCTAGTCCTACCTGACGATGAAGGGAGTCTAGTGTGGTGTACATGGTCTTTTCCTGAATGGAGACCCTGCAAAGCAGTCTAATATTTTGATGCTGATGATGCAACAATTTTCTTCTTTACATTACAAATTTTCTGAGATGAGCATAGGCTTAGGGTTAGGGTTTCTAGTTTTTGCGGAGGTCAAGTCTAACCATCAAGGTAATATTATTGTCAAAAAAGGAAGTGGCTGATAAAGTTTAGATGGATCTAGAGTCAGGAAGAACCTGAGCAAAAGTGTTTTGGATTGCAGTTGCAGACTTACACAGCTAAATCCTACTTCAAATACCTGAGTTCTTTATTGGATCTAGAGTGCCAAAAACACCCACAATTTCAACTTGTAAGATGTTGGTGTGCTAAGGGCAGATAGCAGGGGAACCACTGAGGGCCTGATCCTTGTTGTGGCCATGTAGCCCCAGCCCCTTCCTCACCATCCACCCAGAGGCACAAGTACCAAGCAAAATGTCTTTGAGTGCCACACTCTGGCACCCGTGCTAGGAGTTGACTACCCCTGATATATACCATAGTTACTCCCATACCACAGGCCCCATTCCCTTCCAAAATTAGCCTTCCAAAGCCTGGGTGCATTTCTTAAGAGGGGAAGCTCATTTTCTGCCTAGAATAGAAAGATGAGGATGCTGTAAGATAGCCGATGCTTCTTTTCCTTTTCTTCCCTTCAGCAGCTGCATGAAGAGAGGGGTAGAGTCCAGCAGAGGCAAAACAATGGTGGGGGCAGGGGTGGAGGGGGGAAGAGGTGTGATCATACCCTGTTTTGATTCTTCTTGCACCCAAATTTTAAAACCAACTTCCAGGCAGCGGTGGCATTTCTATTCAGGCACCGCTGACAGAGGGAGTCCACTGTGTCACTGAAGGAGTGAACTGGCTAATTCTAATCTATCTGATTCCTGCTAACCATTCTTCACTCCAAAGGTGTTAATGACAAACTCTCCTTTTTAACAATCTTTATGAAGCACTAATCAAGTTAGTCTTTCTTCAGCAATTTTGCTGGCTGTTAGCTACTCCTGGTTTCTCCTTTCCTATTTCACAGCCCTGCAGCCTATTTTAGCTCTTTTCAAAATCCTACATCTGCCTATGGAGTCCAGTCTTCAGCAGCAGCTACACTTTCACCTTTTGTCTGAGTAGCCAAATACTGCTACCAATTTAGCTGCAAAAGGGTTAAATAGTACCTTTTGCCTGTGTAGGAAACAGAGTGCAAATGAGCTGAAGATAAGGCTCTGCCCTGCTCTACTGAAGTCATAATTCCAGGAAAATCTTTTTTTTTCTTTTTCTTTTTCTTTTTTGGCTCATTATGCCTTCCCAAAAACAAGGTGCGTATCTCTTTTAGGGGCATATAGTATGCGAGAAAATATGGTGTGTATGTTCATGTTTTCTTGCAGTGACATTGCATGCTGCTACAATGGAATGCTCCCCCGCCCCCGAGCTTTTACAGCCTGTTTGCAATCAGATACATTCTAATAAACCCTTAAAATGAATTTTACCCAGACTAGGTTTGAGTGTACTTACAATGATTGAACACTCCCATGAAAGCCCAGGCATTCAAGGGTTGGCAGGGCCCCAAATTTTGTTTTTGATGCTAATCTCCCTCTATACACTGTATGAATCACTTTGCCTTTCCAATTCTCAGCCGTGGGAAACGATGGAAGGTGGGGGCTGCCGTTGCTATGGCACAGTGAGGCCATTCTGATCACACGTCCCAGTGGAAGCTTGCTGTAAAGCAGATTGCCTTGGTCTGTCACATGGAGTAACCAGGCAATGAATGAAGCGTAGCATCATGTTTCTACAGCCTATCAAATACTGTTTTGTGATATATTTTCCACTATGTTCAAGAGCTGTAAAAACACTTACAAAACACTTCAGTTTACAGACTTTGGGCCAAATTCTCAGATAGTGTAAATCAGCATACCTCTGTTGACACTGCTTTACTCCATAAGAGCCATATTTACTTTTTGGCAACACACTAGTTGGATGCTCCTGCATGATGCTAGATTTATCCACCTTAAATGTATTTTAAAATAAAAGGTCTGTTTTTTTAGAATTATTTTTCTTTTCAATTCCAGTGGGAAAGGGAAAGTACTGCAAAGCAGGGAAAAGTATTGGGAAACTCCCACATTTCTTTTGTAACATTCTGGTTCTATAACAACTAACTGTAGAAACGTCTTTATGTTCAGATGGTTCCTGAAAGGCCAAAGTTGCAACATTCAGATTTAGTTCTGAACTTTCCTTAAGTTCCAGTATATTTGGATCTGGGGCTCAGTTCAGGCACATCTCCACATATAATTTATGTCTTGTGTATCAAAAGTGAACAAAAAAGGAATAAGGAGGAGCATTTAAAAAAAAGAAATTACTCTGTAGCAAGAAAACTTGTCTCCAAATGGCTGTATATGAATATTTTTAACTCAGATTTCATTGGTATAATACGAAATAAGAGGACAAATACAGCACATCTCTTTGTAACACAGGGATCCATCCTTATCTCAGAGCATTTGTTATGCCCAGGGGTATAGGTTGTAGCTGTGCTGGTCTAAGGACATAGCCAGGCAAGGTTTTTATTTTATTATTATATATATATTAGACCAACTATTTGAATTGGTCTAACAAAAGATATCAGATTTACCCAAAAAACCTTGTCTGCCTTTGTTATGTCCATGAATCTTAATGGAAGGAAGGCTCATGCACCATTGGGAAGAGAGAATCTATTTAGTATCTAACTACCTATTCCTCATCAAAACTAGGTAGTAAATTACATTTCCCCAGCTCTCAGATCACCAATCCCAGCACAGCTCCCTCTTTGGTAAATGATTAAGCTTAATCCTTATCCTCCTATTAGTACTGTGTTCATCCCAGAAAAACCATACAATTCTCTTAGCATCCCAGCACATTCCCCATTACCCCTTCGCTTCCACTGTTAATTTTTCTTAATCAAATAGCTACAATATCAAATTTCTACCAAGGCTGGAGAGTAAAATTCTGAAAGATGCCTCTGAAGAAACTGCAACTCATGCAATGGAAACTGTTCTGCTGTTCAGCTAGTATCAGCTATATTGGACTGCCTGGCTCGCATACACAAGCATGGCCATCTGAAGCTATTTGCTTTGTTCATTAGGACCTTTATCGATGTGATGCAAAATAGACAAACACAATTCAGAAGTTCTGGATTCAACAGAGGAGTCATTTCACTCATGAATAATTCATACCATAATAAGAGACACTCTGAGCTCCCCAGTTTTGCATTGTTTACACTCTTCAGATGGGTGAACACCTGGGTTATTGTCAAATGCACTTTAAAACAGATAGAGAGATTCAGAACAGTGTTCAGTGGAATACAACATACTTGTAAAAGCCTTGGAGCAACAGGTAGGAGCCCAGGCACTTACACCTAGTGCCCCTAGATTATATGTGGAATTGCCATGCTCACCTGCTACAAAATCACCAAAGCCAACTGTGGTCAGAGTGACAACCACAAAGTAAATGGACTCCAAAGCTGTCCATCCTTCAATGTGTTTGAAAATGACTGCAGGGATGGTCACAAAGACAATGCAGCCTGCCAAGATGAAGAGGATAGTGGAGATCACCCGGATCTTTGTCTGACTCACTTGTTTTTTCTAGAAAAGGGAAACAAGAAGAGAAAGAGACAAAACATTTCTTTATTAATTACTGGGACTTTTTCCCTAGTTCATGAGTTTAACATAAATACAGAATCAGTCCTGTAAGTGAGATCCTAACAACAATCCCTTTAGGCATGTCTACATGAGATGCTTAACTGCACAGTAGCATAGTTTACTGTGCAGTAAGTGCGTATGTCTACACATGTGCATGCTTATTGTGCAGTAAAAACCCCTGCTCACACATAAATTTGATACCTGCAAGTGCAGGTATTAAATTTACATGCAATTAGTTACTGCACAGTAACACACATGTCAACATGACCCAGGAGCAAAGTTGCTCCCAGGTCAGCCCTCCCACTAAGGGGCTGGCCTCAGGCTAGCCCCAGGACTCTGGGCTGAGAGACTCTCCTGCCCCAGGGCTGGGCTGCCTCTATAGCAACCTTTGCCTCAGGCCTTTAAAAGCCTGCAGGCATTTTGAGCCCTTGGGCACAACAGCAGGGAGCTTGAGGCCACTCCAGATCCCCCTGTTCCCCTGAGCAGGCTGCAGTCCACCTGTCCAGCCTACTTGCACCCCGGCGCCGCTGGCTGGCACCACAATGTCATGTACCTGCCAGGCTTATGCCATCCAGGCCTGCAGGGTGCTGCATGCTGCTGCAGGCTCCAGCCAGGCCTGCCAGCCCCCAGGCCCAGCTGCAGGCAGCTTCTGGCTGGCAGGGCCAGCTCCACCTGCCTGAAGCCCACTCCCAGCAGCCTGCCCTAAGCCTGCAGATGCTGTGGGGCCTTGTCTCAGCCACACAGCTGCCAGTCCCATGCCAGGGTGCAGCGCCAGTTCAAGCAGGGCAGGTGCTCCAATGCCTACATCTATGAGGGCCTGTCAGGCCAGATGTGGGAGCATGGGCACAACCAGTTGGTGCAGCAGTGCTGCATAAAGATCAAGGCCTTGTGTGCACAGTGGGTTGCCATCACTGATGACAACTGTTGGTCAGGGAGTGCCCACAAGACCATGCTCTTTTTGCAGCAACTAACAGACATCCTCATACCCCAGGACCCAGGCCACAGCTGTGCAGGCTACAGTAGCACAGACGGCCTGCCCAAGTCTCCACCTCAGCCAGGAGTGCAAGTGAGTAGAGGTTGTGTAGGAGCAGAGCACGGTCCTGGGCAAGGCAGTGCAGGCCACAGATGATGAACACTGGGTTCTGGACACCACCCTAACCCTGGCAGTCACCTTCATGCCACCTACTGCCCGGCCTCCAACCTTAGCCCCACCTGCCCCCTGGCAACCACCCACTACCCATCAGCAGGCTCCCACCTGGGCCTAGGAAGAGAACCTGCACTGCCTCCAACATCCAGGAGCCCCTGACCTGCCCCCACCCCAGGTCCTGTGTCACCCAGCCCCCCTGCCTGGGCCCAGCCCCACTGCTCACCCCAGCTCCACATGAAAAAAGAGCCGGAGCTTCCTGCAGTGGGGTCAGGACCACATGCTGGCTCTGCTGGCCCTGGACAGTACCTGCCAGAGGAGGAGCCACCCATGCTGGGGGAGCATCATCTACCATTACCCCTGGGAGAGCCCCCCATCCACAACACTCATGGCAGCATGCAAACCTACAGGGGAATGGCCAGAGGCTGGGGTGCTGGCGGCCTGTCCCTGGGCTCTGCCCATGGCCTCCGCCCATGGCCTCCCACCCTGGAACGGCACACAAAGAACCCTGTACATAGTTTTCATGAGAAAGAAAGTGTTTTATTGTTGTTGAGGAGGTGGAGGGACTCTGTTTGTTGGGGGGCTCCATTTGTTGAAGAGGGGAGCTCTAGTTGATGTGAAGGGAATAAAAACTTGTTCTTCTGAGACATGTCTGCAGTGAGCAGATGGAGAATCAACACCCTCTCTGGGTAACCCGTTCCAGTGTTTTACTACCTTTCTAGTGAGAAAGTTTTTCCTAATATCTAACCTAAACTTCCCTTGCTGTACTTGAAACCATTGCTCCTTGTTCTGTCATCTGCCACCACTGAGAACAGTCTAGCTCCATCCTCTTTGGAACCACCCTTCAGGTAGTTGAAGGCTGCTATTAAATGTCCCCTCAGTCCTCTCTTCTCCAAATTAAATAAGCCCATTTTCCTCAGCCTCTCCTCAGCAGTTATGATCCCAGCCCCCTAACCATTTTCATTGTCCTCTGATAGACTCTCTCCAATTTGTCCACATCCTTTCTGTAACGGGGGGAGCCCCAAAACTGGACATAGTACTCCAGATGTGGCCTCACCAGTGCTGAACAATGGGGAAAAATCACTTTCCTCGATCTCCTGGCAACGGTCCTAGTAATGCAGCCCAGTATGCCATTATCTTTCTTTGCAATGTAGCAGGCTTACCTTTTAGAGCTTGGGTTGAGTCTCAGGCTTGAGATCCTGCTGTTTTGATCGGCGGATCCCATCCACCAAGCAGGAGGCAGCCAGAGAAATAAAGTCACGCCCCTTTCCTGAGTGGAGAGGGAGAAGAGCTCCTCTGGACCTAACTGAAGATTGAAGTCCCTCTGGGACTGTGGAGTAGTACCCTGGAGAGAGGATCCCCACAGGGGAGGGACCCCCCCAGCATTGTGAAGGGCACCACATGGGCCGCTCCTGGGTGATAGCACAAGAGCTTAGGAGTCTTTGGGGTCTCCCTCTCCTTTTGTTTCCCTCCACCTCCTTTGCTACAGTAGTACCTTGGGAGTGGGGCCCCTGTCCTGGAGGGCACCCAGTGTAAGGATTGCTGGTTATACTTGTAGAATGTACCTATAGTTTATGTGAATAAGTTGAAGTAATAGTTTGTACATTAATAGTTATAAGGTTGCCCGATCAATATCCTTTGTTCTCATTTGCTCTATTGTTCATCTGTATTTTTCAATAATAAGTGTGTGTGTGTGTGTGTGTGTGTGTGTAAATATATATATGGTACAGGGTTTATTGTTTTGTAAATTTGTACACACACACACACACACACGTGCACACACACATATATATATATAATCTATGTCCTTACCTTTTAATGGTTTTGTTGTAATAATAAATTTGTATATAGTTAAATAATTGATTGTCTGGGCCTGACTCTATGGGGGATGGGGGCAGCCACTGGGCTGTTGTGTCCCTCTGCAGCACACTGCCCTGCCAATAATTCTCTCAATTGGAGAGGGGAGTATCTCTAACTATAATGTGACATATGCATGTTATATGTGTAAACACATATTGTTTTTTACTGGGCTAGGTATGACAATTGTTTTGAGGCTCCAAAGAAAATCAAAATACAGTAGAAGTATTGTAGATCAAGGAAATACCATGGTATGAATATCCTTATAAACATAAAAAACTAGAGATTACAATAACCATGCATCAAAACTGATTAAGAGTTTGAATTCTTCTCATGAGAGACCCACCTGGTATTATCATTTTTCTGCAAAGCACTCTGCAGTCTGCATTGCCCAGATTCTCAGAAATAGTAGATCACAATGCCTTTGTCACTAAGTTTAGCAGTTGAGTCATCTGCTAAACGAGTGCAATGTTATACATCATTCCAGATTGTTTGGGGAGGGGGGGTGAAATTCTTACACACTAGAGACAGTGTTTGAAAACATTCAAACTGCAGTTAGACTTATATCCAGGTACAAAATTCAGATTCTTGACTTATCGAATCTAAAAAACTGGGCTGAAAAGCTCACAAGAAAGGAAATTCTCTTAAATTTTCTCTTAAGCTCCTGTTTCCACCCAGGACAGCAGCTTTAGAGGAGCAGGAGTCTCATGCTCCTTCACACTTCTGTGTCCAGCCCCAACAAGAAACAAGGTATCAGAAGGTAGAAAACAGTAACATCTAGTAATACAGTTCAAAATAGGTTTAGTTTGATCATGGTGTAACTTTGAATGAAAAAGAATCAGGTAGGCTCTTTGTTTATAAGAACTGCACAGATTATAAAATAAGGCAGAAGCTGTCTTCTTGTTCAGTGTTTGTACAGAACCTACTATGATGGTGTCCTGATCCCAGACTAGGAATCCTAGGTGCTATAGTAGCAGTAGTAGGAATAGCAACAACAACAATATGTAACACTGACCATGTGTATCTGAAAAAAAAACTTAGGCAACTGTGGTGTCAATGCCTACACAGTCAGATGGGACGCAAATTGACTGGAGGGCCACACCCAGAGAGTGGTGGTGGATGGGTCATTTTTGACCAGGAGAGACGTGGGCAGTGGTGTCCCCCAGGGCTTGGTCCTTGGGTCCGCACTGTTCAACATCTTCATCAGTGACTTGGACGAGGGGGTGAAAAGCACCTTGTTCAAATTCACGGATGACACTGAGATGTGGGGAGAGGTGGGCATGCTAGAAGGGAGGGACAGGCTACAATTAGATCTGGACAGGTTACAGGGGTGGGTGGATGAGAATAGGATAGGATTCAATACTGACAAGTGCAGGGTACTGCACCTGGGGAGGAAGAACCAGCAGCATACCTATAGGCTGGGGAACTCCCTTCTCGTCAGCACAGAGGCAGAAAAGGATCTTGGAGTCATTATTGATCCTAAAATGAACATGGGCCGCCAATGTGAGGACACGGTCAGGAAGGCTAATCGCACCTTGTCATGCATCCACAGATGCATCACAAGCAGGTCCAAGGAGGTGATCCTCCCACTCTGTGCAACATTGGTCAAGCCACAATTGGAGTACTGCATCCAGTTCTGGGTGCCACACTTCAGGAGGGATGTGGACAGCATTGAGAGAGTCCAAAGGAGGGCCACTAGCATGGTCAGGGGGCAGCAAGGCAGGCCCTACAAGGAGAGGCTACAGAACCTGAACCTGTTCAGCCTCCACAAGAGAAGTGTGAGAGGGGCAGTGAAAGCCTCTCTAAGGGGTCCTGGACCCCCACCCCATGCACCCAGGTACTCACCCTAGGGATCCTGAAAAGCAGCAGCTGGGAGGAAGCGCAGGCGGCAGCCCCACAATTCTGGAGCTGCCTACAGCATGGGCGAAGCCTCCAGAAACTG